ATTTATTATGTCCTTGCGTAGCAAAAGACAGCGACTGCGTCGATGCCTCGTTGCAATTCGCATTCTTCGAGGAGTTCGATGGAAGGAAAAAATATCCATCACCTACCTCGAGACCACTAATTAACGTTCGATTCCAAGCCAGGAAAAATTACCATAGAATAATTCATTGAGCGGGGAGAAAATCCTACGGCGCAAACTTTTTTCCATTCAAATAATTGGAATTACGAAGACCACGTCGAAACACTTATTGGCTTCGTAATACATACTCGACATACAGTACTTGTATTTGGAAGACACAGTGATTCGACAATACATACACCTCAGTGTAACACATTATAGGTGGTACCTCGCAATTCGACCGTCCCGCGATTTGACGGTCAAATTTGCTTGGACGTCGATTTGCAATTCGACCTCTGCCCGCAGTTTGACCTGCAGAGAGACACAAAACGTAAATTCGATGTAGAAAACATCGAATTGGAAATTGTCTTGCAATTCGACTTCTTCACAATTCGCCCTAGCCTGGCAACGGATTAGGGTCGAATTGTGGGATATCACCACCTGTATCACCTCCCAATTGCCATTAGATTTTTTAAAAAATGTGTATGAATAGAAAGAGCATTTCTTTTTTTTTCGAAAATATCATCATGAAAAAAGATACGTTACTTTTCCATCGAGCAAGCTATACTTCAGAATCATAGCTTACTTCAAGGTTAAGCACCGATGCTCGCAGGTTTATAACATTTGATTACTTGGATGAAAGACATTAATGCGCCTTTTTCATTTCCATGAGCTTTCTTCATTATTTCAGGCGCACTACGAATTTAGGCGCCGTTGTCATTCCAAGAGTGATCTTATGCATCCCAAAACACCAAGATTCATTCGGCTTGGTTGAATTAAAAACTGATGAAACGTGTTCAAAAGCTTTCGATGTGCACCCACGAGAGAAACTGAAATTGATAATCTAATTTTTCTTCTCAAAAACGTACTTCAATCGTCGGCATGATTGCCATTGAAAATACTGTAATAGATGATATCTTGAGTTTCAAGACATTATGAGTCTAGCAAATTAACACCAGATGGAAGCGTAGGCTTTCAAAATACAATACTGTATCTTCGGAATGTTCAAAAAACATTCTCGAAGTCGGGGGAAAGGTTAGGCAGAAATGAGGTGATTAATTTATACTTTATCTCAAATTGCTACTGGTACACCCAGCTATTTTTGCCACACAAAATAAGATGAGCAGAATATACAGTATAATGCTATACACAAAACTAAAGTACTGTCCATTACCAACTCAGCTGGCAGTAGACGAATATATATTAATTGGAGGCAGGAAATCGCAACAAAACGTCAAAGTTTGCGGAAAAGTTAGCGGGGGAAAGCAGAGCCCACAGCTGTGTGCGTTGACCTTCACATACACGATATTATTTCGCCAGACTACATCACAGAAACCCTAGAAAAAAATTTATTAAATCTGGCTGAGAGTGATTTCGACTCATGATTTATGAACGCTTCAGTAGTCGCAGGGAAATCAATACGCGGATTTGAGAAACTTACGGACCTAACAACATCAATTCATTTAGTAGCCAAATACTGTAATATTTTTCGATGCGTCGTTTTCAAGATTATGGCCTGAAGTCTTGCACAATGCACGTCTAATGCATTCTACTCCTTCGCCAAATCAACGGTTCCCGGATTAATCGAACATCACTACCATTCAAATTTAAAAACGCGCTCATTGCAGCAGTAAGGACTGTAAGACGCTGGACGCGTCTCGTCCTATTCAGTTCGAGATCAGCTTCAACAGCCTGTCATTAACTTTGCTCACACATATAAATCCAATTGCAGTGGAATGATATAAGACGTAGATTTTACGTGATTGCGGATTTTTCTTTTAACTAAGTGTCCACATCACTCACGACAGGAAATGTACTGAAAGATACAAACCGTTAGCCGCGTTCTGTTTTCTTAGCAGCATTGGATCAACCAGCACAATACAGTTCAGTATCAATGTTTCAAATTATTCATTGCCACTCCAAAAAAAATGCACAAAGGAATAAACTGAATAACATAAAATTACTACGTTCGAAAGAGACATATTAAATCGCAGTTCCAGAAGGTTGAATTGGAACGAGTGCATCTTCGCGAGAACCAGATGAAACGACCTCCGTTGAACATAGCATAGAATTTCTGAGGACAACCGAAGAGAATCGGGGGAACAAACACGGGGAATGGAAATGTACGAGTTGAAATTGACAGGAGGATGTTGGAATTCACCGCGCGTAAAAAAAATGCGTACAACTTCGCGAGTACTGCAAGTGTATGGATTTCAGCCAAGTTACATGCATGAAGAACTTGAATTGGAAGTATCGTGACTGAAGGTGAGGCCCCTTCCCGCGCCGGAGCAGAACTGCACGCGGTCAGAACTCCTCACCCCTGCGCCCCCCATCCCCTCACGCCCTGCACCCAACACTCTCTCTCTCATGGTTGTGCATGAGTGACTTCAAGAATCGGGAATAAGCCCCTTCTGCAGGAAGTGGTGTAGCAAGTGTACATGCAAACCTTGTTAAACCGCCAAAGTCTGTGCAGCAGGATTTTGGCGGTTTATCAGGGATGGTGTTTTATGGGAGAGGCATACCTTAAAGAAGATTACATCAAGAAACACATGTTGTTTTACTTTTATCTGCAACAGATCTTCATTCTATCTTTGCAATTCCATCCACACAGCTAGCAAGATAAATTCTAAATAATTCCATAAAAATTGAATCACTTGCTATATTTGCCATAAGTGCAGCCATTGCAATTGCCATATCCCCTTCAGTGACTGTATCCATTGAGAAATAAACAAGCATCTTAGCTTGATTTTCTGCATCAGCTGAATTTCCAAGCAGAAATAAGGAGTACAGTTGATAAAACCGGGCAAGATTAGGAAATCACAAAAAAAACATAATTAGTGAAAACTTCTGCTTGACTTCTGAGACTCATCTAGCAAACCTGTAAGTTAAACCATTGCCAGATCCAAAGAGCCAAGTGTAATCCAATCCATAAATTGCTACATCATTACCAAGACCTGCATCCATTGTAAATGCTTGCTTATTGGCCATCAGAAGTGTGATGAGGTACAGAAAACAATACTGTAAAAGGCTGTACAGCGCAGATCACCAATTCTTCTGTTGTGGGCTATTGCACAACTGAATCAGTGAACTCAACCAGCATTTTGAATTTTAATTGAAAGACAGTTTATGGACAAAACATGAAGTTTTCTTTGTAACGAGAAACCTTTAGACCTGGCATATTGGAATTTTCTTGTGACACCATTCAGTGCACTGTAAACTCAAACCCTCAAGTCTGTCACTAGCGTAAAAGAGAATGATGAGAATAGGGAGGGAGGGGATGGGGGGTGCAGTGGCGCGGACTTCTGCTGGCGTGAGCTTCTGCTCCCGGGAGAAGCTACATCACCTTGATGGAAGGAGGAGTAAGCAATACTGGCCTTGTACACAGAGGTGACCACCAAAAAATCCATGCGCGCCGCCATGACTCTCAACACTCTCTCCATCTATGAGCAGAACATTGAACAATGAATCTCTCCAGAGCCAAGTGTAATCACTGGCCAGTGGACCCCTTTCTCCAGTGATGATTGGAGATACTCTGAATTTACCTCCTCCGAATTTACGACGAGTTCACAATCACAACGAAAATCCTTTCTTATGCATTCTGTGGAAACTGACTTTGGGGATGGTTAGGTAAAGTTAGGTTAGGTCAGGTTATGTTAGTTAAAAATATATTTTAACTAACATAAACTAACCTAACCTAACTTTACCCTCCAAAGTCAGTTTCTGCAGAATGCCAAGGAATGGATGAACAGATGCTCATAATTCGTTGTGATTATGGACTCGCGTTGTAATGCAGATGAGTACAGTACTGTATATGGGAGTCTGTGGCCAGTGTTGCTGGAGAAGAGGGTTTAAACTGTGGGAGATTCATTTTGCCGGTAGATGTCACGTTTGCATGACGCGCATGGATTTTTCGGTGGGTCACCTCTCGTGTACAAGTGCAGCAATACTTATAGACAACACGGACGTAAACATGCCTCGTCTTCCGAGGAAATTTTTTTTACCCCAATTCAGGTACTACATTTAACGCGTGCGGCTCAAAAAATTCGAAAATGGTCACAGTACTCAATTGACAAGCGAAAAGAACATGACCAATGGTTTTACTTGCCTCTTGAAATGTTCTTTCTCATGCTTCCTCGAGAGGAACATTGCGTGGTTATGAAAGTGCATACTGTAGATTAAAGCAACTCTTATTTCGAATCTTCTGCATACACAGTAGTCTAATGAATATTCAATCAATCGCGAGTAACAAAAAGGACATTGATTACATGCAGAGCATATCTGATTTTGAAGATTTTTCCTCAAATATAAAAAATTCACAATTATACGATATTCGAGAAAAAATCAGTTTCAAAGAGAGATACATTTGATAGGAAGAAACGATTGGTCACGGGTACTTTTTTATGGGGTGCTTCCGTCCTGATTGAAACGACCAATAGATAGGCTTGGATGTCACAAGCAAGTTTCGGACAACTCGTCTGCATAAGAAAATTAACGAAGACATCACGCACGACTGCGTCACTTCCACGCGATGCACGATTTCCACGGCACGACAACGCACCATCAACAACCCGTAAGAAATTAATCCACGTGCGACTCAATAAATGCTGAATGCCAGATGATTTTTATTACGTTTCATGCGCAAATTGGGCCGGAAAATTCCGAAGGATAGCTGGATTTTGGATCACTTTTTTCGTGACGTCAGAACTTCATTTTACGACAATACGAAACCAATAAGCTTCGTATTAACTACGTCGTTGCACTCAGTCGTGGGAATGCAGCCTTCCAATCTCGATGACTTTCACCGCCGTATTTTTTCTCAACGGCCAGGTCAGAGCCGCGCAAACGGTTTCACAGCCCCGGGCTTCAGACTTACACAGGAAACCCTACCCGCGAAATTCCTTCGTATTCACCGGTAAACAAAGTTCGGACTTGGAAGCCCGCACTTGACGATCACCGCTGGCAGGTTCGTCTCGCACAGCCAGCGCAGGCACGTTCCGTTGCACGCGATCGGAACGTTGGGAATGGGAGGAGAGGTGGGCCTTACGCATACCCGAGTCCGGCCAACCCTCCCAGTGGGCATTGCGCCGCGCACCCGCAGTTGTCCCTCCTTTAGTTGCGGTGGTTCCTGTTGGCGCTGAAATCACCAATGCCCAAGTGACTTCAAGTTCGTCATTCAGAGGAACAATTTTCCACATCCTTGCGGCGTCTTGCTGAGTGTGTAAAATTCTGCCAGACTTAGCTATAATAATGCTTCTTTAAAAAATGTTAACAATCCTAGCATGAAAGATACATGGGGCTGCAAGCATATTTATTTATTTCATTTAAATTTAAATTGACATGTGAAGCACTTCCACTTGGTAAAACACTTTCCGAAAAACAACCTTGATGCATGGCAGGTTTCTTCAACAGGTTTCCAACTTGCAAACCCGTTAATAGCAGCAGGTGTGCCTAACTTGAAATCTCCCTGAATAGAGGATTTCAATTGCACTGCGGTATTCCAATCAAGCTTACAAACATTGGACCCTAATCTGTTGCTGGACTATTCAAATTGTGAAAAAGTTGAATTGCAAAGCAACATCAAATGCAATGTTTTCTAGACTGTGCAGAGGTTGAATTGTAAGTCAACCTCCCTGAAAATTCAACAATCAAATTTCAGGGTGGTTAAATTGGGAAGTAATGCCTGTAAACTGTTCAGTAATATAAAATTAACCAATGCTGATGGCATTATGATATTTTCATATAGGCAAAATGTTTTTTAAGAATCTGGAGGAGAATAAGCTGTTGGTAATTAATACACAGATAATGACAGTGAAAAGCAAGGATAATTTTCAGATGTATGTACTGTATTTGCAAAGCAGGTCGAAAGTTTATTCAATATCGTTGTGGTATGTGTGCAGGTCTTCATGGACGCTTTTTGTTTTTTTCTTTCTTCTTATTTTTGGCGCTTTCATCAATGGCAGAGGAGTTCCCAGCAAAAAAAACGGGTAGATTTCTTGAAGGAACACGATTTAATTTTTCAGGACATTTCAAGGGATTTTCACTAGTTTTATTGCTGTTCAAGGCATTCTGTCAAATGTCTAGCCGCCATTTTTCAAATCTTGAATCCTTCGGACATTTCCTCCTGACGTTTTTCTCAATAGCTTACCCGGGCAATTTTTATTGACCTTGACTTTGTCTATTTTCAAGGCAGCCCGAATTTAATTTTGTCCAATGACAGTAGATCCATGAAACGCTCGAAAGAATGCGAAGTCCAATAATTCCAAATAACTGACGAGTTTCCTCGAGTTGCGACGTCCCATTCATTTTGTATGGGTGCGGGCGCAGGGCTGGCGGGCAATCCGTTTCAGTTTGCAGAAAGGTTTCGGCTTCAATAGCGCGACATCTAGGACAGCATGAGCATACCTAAAATACAGCATCTATCATAGACTGTTAGGGGGTCTCAGGAAATTCGAAAATAATCCTGCGTGAAAGCTCTGCCACGTGACCTTGAGAAACGCCTAGTGACACCTACTGGAAAGAATAAAACTTTGTTGCACATGATGCATCTTTTCGAGCAGATGGGATCAGCTGTCACATGCTTTCGAAGTCGACAGTAAAGCAGAAGCAAGAACCTTCACGATGATGAACTCAAGTTACTAAAGAAGTAAAGAAACCTTGTGAATGATGCGAATCTTCAATCTGTGATACACAGTACTGTATTCTGAACTGTTCGGATTACGACGGTGGAGCCCGTCTGATGAAATATCATCCAGCAATATTCATTTTTAGGCTTGCTGCTGAAACATCAATGAAAAATATATTATGCTCATTATTTCCTCTAAGGATGCATAAGTAGGAAGCATGAAAGCTGATTTATGCTGTTACCACTCACCAGAATATCCCTTTCATCGCCGGCTTGTCAACTTGTATGAAAAGAAAAATAAATCAGTAGCCTTGGCCTACTGCACCCACCATCCATAAAGGTGATTTTCCTTAGACTGTTGACCAGCCATTCAAACCTAATTACAGTATTCTGTAATTAAAATATATCACGCGATATTTATGTGAAATACGCATGCTGGTCAAACAAAAATATTTACACATTCGAAAAACGATGGAATTGAGTCAAGTCAACCGCGTTCTTCAATTTCATATCTCAAACTGATGTTCGGAAGATTCTACTGCTTATAAGATTGGGCCTTTTCTTCTATCCCATGATTTTGATACAGCACTATAATGTACTTCAATCCAGAAAAAGAAAGCAGTCAAAACTGGACGCTGTCACATACTATTTTAAATTACGATCAAGGAAAAACACGTTGAGATTAAAAGCGAATCTCCTACACTGAAGTCAAATTCGGAAAGAAACAGGTGCCGAGGTTAATCCGTATCAATTGTATTTGGTCTTCTCCGCTTCAACCTTCAATGGATGCACAGAAGTACGAGAAAGAAAAACCGCTGCCGCCGATGAAAGCATTACACCCACTTTCGGGGGCGTCCAAACCGGGGCATCAGAGCGCCTCGGCGGCGGCGACGTAGCGCAGAAGGGCGGCCAGGCCGTCGAGCGTTTCCTCGCCGCTCGGAATAATGTATTCTGCGGGAAGTACGAATCCGTAATGTCCGGTGTCGCGCAATTCGAAGCCCAACGCGAACCGAGCCCCGGCCTTCTCCATGCCCCAGTCGAAACTCCCGCCACTTGCAGCATCTGGAATTAGGAAATGTTTAAAAATATACAAGGAACATAAATGCCCCAGAGTAAAACGTAAGCACGTGAGCTAGAAGCTATAAAACACAAAACAAACATGGTTGAGGTAAAACTTGTTTTCAAGTTGAAAAGTGTCCCTGTCTCAGAAATACTGCCAATTAGGAGTGATTTCAGAGTAAAAATGAATGATTTAGTAAGGTTTACCTTAGTGTTAGCTGCTTGGTGTAATTTAAATCCCGCTGCTGTCGAAAAATTTAATGGTTCTACTGGTCGAACAATAATTCTTAGGACCCACCTTCAGCACCAGCACTTTTCGAGCAGCAAAGGTATAAGGTACTGTATATTCAAAATCGAGTTAAAATCTCTCATATGGCAGACCAAAAGTTCTAGGAAAGATGAAAGCCTTACGAAAAACGCGAAATTGTATCTTCGATTTACCACGTAATGAAAAGAATGCGATACCGGTTGGAACTCCGCATAATAAATTCACGTTTCATTTTCCCAACTCGAGGACTGCATTCATTTTTAGAACTTACCCCAGGAAATCCTTTTTTTTGAATCCTTGGTGGATTTTACCTGCATTATGATTTGAACCTGAACATGACAACTGCTTGGACAAAAACAAGCATAACTGTCAGCTAATTTATTGTGACCTTTCTACTTTTCATAACCAAAATAGCATAAACATAAAAATTCACAGCATTGCACTTTTGAAATCCAGCCATGAATACCCTTTGAACAGCATCCTTCATTCTTTCTAGGTCACTATAGTCAAAATGTCAGTCAATCCCTCAAATGTGCTGTAGTTTCAAAGTTCAAAAGGAAATCGTTGGAATAAAAATCAAGCTTTTAGCCGAGCATCTATAGTTCGTGAAAAGGTTCTTCTTTCTGGGGATAATAAACATCAAATTTGACTTCAAACAAATTTGTAAGACAAATCATTGATGCTCCTTCGTCTTCGGAAAGTTCAAACATATAGTAAAGAAAAACATAAAGAAACCTTGAAAATGTTCATGAGAAGAAAACAGTAAAAAAGCACAAGGTCTAGAATAAGAAACCACTTAAAATCATGAACTTTATACAATTTTTTAATCCAAAACATGAGGAAACTGCAACAAATAAATAAATTGCATGCCACTTGTTTTTTGTACTTGCAGTTAATTTTTTATTTATTATTCATTTTTGGTCGGGATACTTAGTGTGTGTCATCCTTTTGGGAAAATAAACGTGAATTGTTTACTGTATCATATTTGGCTTTCTTATTTTTATGATGCACTTGGCGTATGAGACATCAACGTGCGTTATTGTTACCATGCGTCGTGTTTCCTCCACTATTTAGGACACGGGCCACACTCAACATGCCGTTTAAATTTGCGCATAATCCGTCTACATATGCATTTGTGCATGAGAGCCACCTGAAACTTTCCCATCTATTTTCGTGGGGAATAGTTCGCATTTTACTAATCGGGGAAGGACGTGGAATGCGGTAATCGGTCGCTCCGAGTCATTTTTCTAGGGTTTTTAATCGCGTGAAATGAAGCAATTTCGACGCAAATGGAGATACGAGAGACCTCTAAAACTGGCGAGACAAGCGAAAAATGAAAAAAGTTCGAACATACCATCATTCTCACTATGATATAAACCAGGTTGGCATGTCAATTTTGCACGAAACACCGAAAGCTGAACAGTGTTACCAACGCGTAGCGCCAGGTTTCCGGAGAGGGCGTTGCTAAACTGCATGTGTTTTAAAGGTAAAATCGGCTACGTTAATGTTGGAAACCTTATGAATTCAAAATCAGGCGTGCTATAGACTTATTCTGAAAAAATCATCCCATTTCATTTTCGGAGTGACTGCCGGCGGTCCTCCAGTCCTTGAAATATAAAAGAAAGATTTTCTTCTCTCGGCCAGAGTTTGAATCCATCGCCTTATTCACTTTAAAAGAAAATACAGTACATGCGACGTATCCCTTACACGAAAATCGACTTCGCGTTCGGTTATGTGTACAGTATCAAGTCCTCAAGGCTCTCAAAATGCATCCGTGTCCATCAGCTGCGGAGTAATTGAAATTAAGGAAAGCTTAAATCAGAGGAAAAAACTACGGAATCAAATTTGAACAATATACCTTTCAATTTTAAAAATAAACGCAAAAAATATACCTTACAATTTTAAAAATAAAGGTAAATTTACTTGAAATTCCGCATATCTCGAATAAGTTTTCCAGTAAAATGTATCGTCAATACGATGCAAAAATTGTACTGGTGGTACCTCACAAATTCGACCTCCCGCAATTTGACTGTCCTGCAATTCGACGGTCGAATTTGAAGGTCGTCGAATAACATTTAGCCGTCGACTTGAAGGCCGTCGACTTGCATTTCGATACTTGCTGAACAAGTTGAATTGCAGGCCCTGCAATTCAACCAGCTTTGGCCTTTCTTTTTCGCGTTTTTGTACTTGCATTTTTGAATTTCATGGAGTATCTCGCAATTCGCCCGACTCGCAATTCGACCCTAATACAGCAACAGATCAGGATCGAATTGCGAAATTGTCTCGCAATTCGACCGATTCGCAATTCGACCCTAATACAGCAGCAGGTCAGGATCGAATTGCGAGGTAACAGTAAGTTGTAGGGTAGGGTTTTACAGACCATGCATTTTGTGGTCGGCATTAAACGAGCAACTTGAACATGATTCATTAGATATCTTTAAATGTTAGGGATTGCACAACACGCTGCTAAAAATGTCAGTACAAGAATTAGAACTGAGATCGGCTTATTCAGGATGATCTTATCGTTTTGAAAAATGTTATCGCTAGATAGAAGTGCTGTACTCGTACACTAATAAACGACAGATTTTGACATTTTATTTGGGTCACGCAGCAAGTTTGGACAGGATCAGCGACTTTATCTCAAGCCTCTTATTTGTGAAATCGAACATAACGTGCTTCGACATGTGACCAGTGACGTAGAATTATTTCGAGAGAGAAAATACTTCCTTGTCAGTCAAACCATAGTTCAAGATTTAATTGCCGAGACCTGAAGCCTGTCAACAAGGTTTCTACGCTGGCGTTCAAGCGGATAAACTAAGTGCTTCGCACTTCTATTTAGTGAGAAAAGAAGCTCCTGGTTTCGTGTATTTTTGGCTTTCATTTGTGCTGGAGCGCCGTTATGGAAGCCATAATTTTCCAAATTAATTTCTCTTTCCGTATATATCCTGACGTCGTCCTCTCCTCGGGCGAATCAGTGTCATGATTCGCCTTCAATGCGAATGGATGATTAAACATATCGACGGGGACGCGTCAATAGCAATTTCTTCAATCCGTCTTATACAGAGGGAAACCGTATTCAACGACGCTAGATCGACTAGAATGCAATCCTACAAATGAAAGTAAAAGAAATATATCTCAAAGATCTATAAATTACTTTTTTTTACAAATTCGTCGCTGAGAAAGTTCGTTGAGTTGGTCCCCTTCCGCTGCATTGATTATATTTCTACAGAATTGTTACCGCTTTCCACTGGGTCATTCTGCCTTTTAGCTAGTACAAGTACTTTAGTCCGTTATGGCGATAATGTCACGATACTGAAAAACAAATTTAAGATTTTTGAGATTCATGGAAAATAAGGGATAAAAATTAATAATCTATATTTGCAGAATTTCCTAAATTTGCGATCTGTACAGTATTTTCGTTTATCGTTAGTGTCGTGAATGGAGGTAAGTGTACGTATTCTTTATTTATGGAAATTAAAGGGTATGTGGAATTCCGGTTGGATTTAATTCTGGAGTACGCGACAGGAAAATCCGAGCTCCCAAGATTAAGTCCGGGCATTTTCCCACCGAAAGAGTACCGAGAATCAGTATATATAGTAACTAATTTCCTATCGTGCCAAACTAAGATCATTTTCATCCATTTGCTTTCTTCTGAGTGGTGAGGCCTTTGATACATGGGACGCTTGCCTGAATTACGAAAGCATAAATCCATTAATGGACATACGCCGTGCATTTTCCTGAACCAAAGCTGCATGCGTACGTGAATGTTAAATAGTCGAATCCAGTATTCGAGCATCCTTTGACGCCGAGAACACTTCGAATTCGTGCCCCAAGTATCTCATCAGGCTAAAATTTGAGCAGCATTCCTGGAAGAAAATTCTCTGAATTTTTCCGCAATAGCAATGCATCCTAGAATTCAGTATGTACAGTACTGTATCTTCAATTCTTGTTATTCGAGTGTAATTGCAGGTGTACAACTCTAGGCAACTCGATGCGTTTTTAAAAAATCTTCAGGAGCCCTTTTTCAAGATGGGTTATACATTGCATTCCCCACAAGCCCTAAAAAATAAACGAGAATACACGAAAATAAAACTCTTCCATGCTTGAGCTTCGAGGGACGAAAATTCCCTCGAAGGCTAAGCTGAAGCCTTTTTCAGGTTCATTTTACGATTATGCGGTGCGTCGCGCAGACCTCAATTTTCTCTTCTTTTTTTTTCGTCTTCACATCATATCTTTTCAGAGAAGAATGGTGAATATATTTACTGCGATTCAAATCCTGATACGTGGCTATTTCAAGCATCGGAGTTATCGTATTCTGAAAAATTTTAACTCGAAGTGCCACTGGAACGAAGCGGAGTCCTTGAACATCTATGGAATTCATAATTGGCTTGATTTTTCGGAGAAATTCATGGGCGTGCATTTATAACCTACAAATTAACGAAGATACAATTAAGCTGCTGTATGAAGTTATGGATGCTTCACGTGATTTTTTTCTAGATATTCGCAGTCGTAGGTTCTGGTGGCGTAATTTTCATTTCGGCGCCGATCGATAAAGTACTTGATGAGTGAAAACTTGGACCTGACTTTATTCCTCATAATTCGAGCCAAGTACCGAATGCTTCACATCAGTAATACAGTTCGAGAGAAGTCTTCAAGTACTTCTGGGTTCTGGCATCTCGAGCATTCAAGTAGATACTCACGGGTACTGTTCATGCAATTTAGGAAAATAAATCCCGTTCTTCGGCACTTCCTCAATCCCGTCTCATGACACTCTAGCTTCGTTATCGCGTACCACATACGTAAGTTCGGGTTCCGCATTGCGAGATGCTTCAACCTGACCGACGACAAATCCCCGGTACGGAACTCGACGACCGGTCGAATCGAGCCAATAAGTCGGGCTCTGTTCTTTCCCTGGTCTCACGGAGATGATTCTTCGGCGCAGCGACCGGGGGATGCAAACAGTGTCTGCTTACCCGCAGGATTAATCCGCGCCAACATGGCGGGGAGCATCGCGAAGTTCGCTGCTGAGCACCCACGCGCGCGAAGAGCATTTCGTAGTCAGGCTCGTCCCGCGATGATGCGAGCTACACCGCGAACTGCCGTCAGTCCCGGAGGAAAAAAAAGAGATAAAGAAAGCGCGGGGCCCTAGGAATCCTAGCCCAAGACTTTTCAGCCAGTGGTGCATAGGCGAATGAAGAAGTGATAACGCGAAATGTTCATACAGTATATGCACTTCTCGGAGCGGTGCCTTTTGAATGATGAGTGGTCTTGATGCGAGGTGCAATGGGTGCGAAAGTGAAGAGAAACGCATTAGAAAGACGATGGGATGATAATGATTATACGGACGATGCTGTCGTAATAGTTGCACAAAGATAACTGTCAACTACGAAGTTGAACTTCGTTGTTCACACGTGGAGATGTGCTGAATCATTCATTGAAAAACTACGTCCTTGTGGACTCCAGTTTTTTCTATGCGACAAAAGTTGAAACCAGCAGAGAGGAAGGATTGAGTGAACCATATTTCGAAAAACTAGAGTGCAGCATTGCAAGTACCTAACCATAATACAGTGCATTACCATGTCTTTATACCTCGTCAAGCTTATTTGTAACAGTGAATCGAGTCAAAGCCTTGAAGCTAGGTATGGCCACGAACAGGTGGTTCCATTATACGTATATTATATCGATCATGTGGTGCACCAAGAAACTAGTTCAGTTGTTAAAATTCCTACACCTTTAAATCGATTCAATCCACAAAAGGGTTGAAACCAGATAATGCAGGGGTGTGGCTTTGAAATGAGCAGTGAAAAAGGCTGCAATAGGGGGGAAAAAGCAAAAAGATGAAGTTTTCTATATTGGATTAGCTTAAGAAGAAAACCAGTTGAGATTGAATTATAACCTGAAGCATGTAATTGCTTGGGTGTGTGAATGAAATGGAATACGTTTTGGCAATGATGGAAATAAAGATTCCTTTCAAGTTCGAAAAAGCTTTGTCACAGTCATAATATAGTACAGTAGGTCATCAAACTCATCATTTACTGACATACACTTGCTGTTCGATATAATTTCAGCCAATTCATGACTTATATCGTACTACAAATCCCAGGCAGATGCACACCTCGGACACTGTTTAATATTTCTCTGATCCCCAAGCCTAACCGGTGAAAATATATTCTTGAAGTCAAGAAATGCTAGACAAATTTTAAAAATTGGCCCCCATTTCGAGCGAGGTAATGACACCAAGTGCAGGATTCCATAATTTATAGGCAACATTTTTAAATAATGGACCATTATTGCGTCAAATATGAAATCAAGATTTTGGCGAACGCTGGTTCGCAGGAGTCGTTGGTCAACAAACTTTGCCTTGCTTGAATAGAAAGTGGTTCACTCCAGAATAAGGTTTGAAATTTGTGCCATAAACGACCCCTTTAATCCCGAAACAAAGAAAAAATTGAGAAGCAGTCAGATATCATACTCACACAAGATTTCCACTGTGTTTCCGTACGTGTATTCAGTGTCGTACCGAGTGCGTATCGCGTTGGCAACGATCTCCGACATCTCCATCTGCTCAGGGTACGGTAAAACCATCCAATTATTCACAATTTCAAGCAGTCACTCTCGAAAAAAAAACTTTCGCCGCGAAAAATTGTACCGCACTCTCAATAAGTGGGTCCTCCGTTTTTTTTTTCCTCAGTTTTTTTTCGACTCAAACTTTTAAAACCTTCAAGTTTAGCCAGAGTGACGTGATAACTTTTGATGCGGTATTTTACACATAAATTATGAGCATTATACGGCATGGTCAAGATGATCCAGGTCAAGCCACAAACAGTGTGCCACTTTCAAATACTGTACCTATGATTTTTTTTTTCAAGTGAGTCGAAATTTTATTCTGCTTCATAACTCTAGTCACTATCATTCTTTTCAAATGTTGCACTTTACAGTCGTGATTGAAATGAGAATCAGACGTTTGCAGTACTGTATACGGTGAAATTACCGTCGCCTATATGGGTTAGTTTGCGTTGTATATGGTCGTTAATTTTTTCTCGAGTTAGTCCGGCATAGATATAATTTGAATTGACAACAAAAAGCTTCGTGTTATGAGAACATCTCGTCTTTCAGTGTGTCTTACCTTCTGAATTCCAAAAAGTTTAGAATTCTGAATTTTTCGGAAAAAGGCTTCCTATACTAAAATTCATGAAAATAAATTAAGCTATCGCTATTTTTCCATATTTTTTCGAAAGAATCGACGATGTTGAATTGATTTATTGGGAAATGAATAAAAAAAAGCCAATATGCGGAACTGTGAAATCATACACTTCTGCAGTTCCGCTTTCAAGCTCATGAAGGACTGACTTGAACATAGAACATTATCGTGACTGTCTTCTGATTTTTCGTGAGTACTGCAAGTGCTCTTTTTAGAAGAGAAAACCAGTAAAAATAGAGTGAGATCTGCTCCCATCTTTCTTCCACACCATATTTAGAAAACGAAGTTCAGTATTCACGCGGTGCAAAAAAAAAATAATAATAATTCTGCTGCAACGCGAAAATCTCGTCTTCGCAGATGATTTCTGCTAGCAGCATCCTTGGGAACATGCGAATGATTCTTCATGCTAAAACAATATGTTATGTAGATATGCACGATAAAACTCTACGTTATGTGGCGTCCGGATACTGCATTTTTCTTTCGTCGGTGCTTCCTGAACAAATATTTTCATAGGTTCTATCAATAAAGTTGACAAATAATACCTGAAACACTACGCATTTCAGAAGGTTGAATATATTTTAATTAGTCTAAATTGTAATTAAAGTACTTCGTAAATGTCTGCTTTATCAAAAATTCTATCCAGTTTCATCCAACGTATTTAAAAAGCCATTTGTGTCCGAACTGTATGATACGAGCTTAAGAAATGGTCGAACATATCAGTCTTATAAGTGAAATCTTAAGTACGATGGCATCTCAGATTCAAAGATTTCGCCTGATTCTGTTAATTACGATATTTCGAAAAATGGAGCCTATAATCCAACCAAAACATTCTTCCTATTTCATTTGTACTGTAATTTAAGGGCGGAAGAACTGCTGTTCTGTTTTTGCTGGAGTTTTTCGTGGAAATTAAGCTGACAATAGAAAATGAGCCAGATATAGAAAGGATTCTTTGATTCCGAAGAAACTGAATGCAATAAAATTGCGTCTTACATTTAAAAATAACTTTTTGTAATTTTTTTTTTGAAACCGACAATAGATTGTGCAATGGATTTTGTCTGATACAGGAATACAGTACTGTAAATGTTTATAGCACAACTGAATTTGTCATATTTGTTTCTAAAAACTATCATCCTTGGAGAAAGCGGGGCGGAAAAGTTAGATTTGGAAAAGGAAGTTCCCAAGTCCGAGCATCACGACTGATTTTCAAGATACAGTACCACGTTCGGTTTTCAATCAGGACGACTTTTTTGTTGTATCCTAGATTAAATGTCAGCTTGATGGGCAAGTTAGTACCATTTTCGTTTAGATGACTCGTGCTTCGGAACAGTGAGACTGGTTCCGACCATCGATTAACACCGATCAAGTACTGTCGGGTCTCTCGTTTTCGGGGTTGTAAACGAGTGACGACTGGAAATTGGTTCGGTTATTTTTCAATCTTTCGGCGGCGGCCTCATCAGCGTAGTTTAGGAAGTGATGATGACGATCGAATCAAACACGGTTCGACCCCGCGTATATAGAAGTGCTTACCAGCTCGGCGAAGTTGTCGGGTTTGGGGTTCGCGCTGTGGCTCCAGGGCAGCAGCATCAGTTGCGAGTAGCTGTGGAAGCTCACGAAAGCCGCTAGTCCCTTTCCGGTCGCCGCCGTCAACGCCTGAACGTAGTTGACCATGGCTTGGACTTCCGGTTCCGAATTCGGGCCCTCGCCGTGGTAAGTGTCAGAGCAAGGCTCTCCGCTGGACCCGGACTCTGATCGAGATAAATCACGCGACTTAAGGACCGGGACGAGTTCGAGTGCCCTAGCCTCGAAACTCTTCAATGTGAGATGCGTATATTACGAACCATCGTTGAACTTTCCAACGAGATACCTCAACCACGATTGCTTGATTTTTTCTCTTCATACCGACTGAACTTAGCAGAGAGCTCATTTCCATGCACCTCAATAACGCTGGCAATACGCAGCGAAACCTTCATTACCCAGACTGATGGTTACTTCTCTTCTTCCGCACAATCGAACAGAAAGTATAATCAAGAATGAGAAAAAGTAAGTTTCTAAGTACTGTACTGTATTAGCAAGGTTACATAAAATTCCGAATACCACTACAGTACTGCCAGTCTTTTACATTTTCGGAACAACCGAAATTCCTTAAGAAATACGGCACCCTCGACGAGTTAAAGAGAACAATAATCTGAACCCTTCGTCCTGGTTATCGAATATCTCAGAAAATACCATCTAACAGATTTTGAAAAATGTATTGAACTATGATTCGGACAATGTTATCTACATTTTCTTTCACAGTACTGTATCTCGTACTTGTGCACATGAGCCCTCAAAACGAAAACTGTAGCTCGATTAATGAAATCCCTCATTTGTCCTGAAAAATGCGGAGCAGCGGTTTTCCATCTTCATAACTTAGCAAATTGAATACCGGTATTATCCGAGTTGTACTGGGGATATTGACTGCTATTGGATCTCTTTTAAAATTAAAGATTTTGCAATGTTGGCTAAGTGAAAAATGGAAACAATCGCAAATGATGGAGGGCCTACTTGCTGCAGCATTAGCCGATCACGGGAATCTAGTAATGCGGCGTTCATTTAAAAAACGTGCCGGGCTCTCGAAAGAATTTATGGCTCCATTTGAAGCCATATCCCAGAAATGCCGAAATCACACCTTTACAGTACACGTACGGTAACTTTTGGGCTGGACATTCAGCTCGTCTGGAAACATTGAATTCACCCGGGGAACGAAGTCCTGTGAGGAGTTACCATGTCTAATACGTTCAAGCATGCATAATCCCAAGTGACATATGCAAACAAGTGTACTGGGGTGTGTTTCTCGACACTGGACTTCCAGGTCCGCTTCGATCCAAAATAGGCCGAATTGACAATGTCAGCACGGAACTCATGGTCGGGTATATAATCGACTATGAGGCAACGAAGAGTACAGTACTAGCGTTCGCTGTATTGGACATATTTTTTACGAGCAAGCTTCAGGTGCAGTCCCAATGTAATAAAATTTTACCCTTGTTGCGAATTCGAAACGTTTTAAAGCCCTTTAGGCTCACAAGGATTGAGAATATGAATACAGTACTCAAAAGACTTGAAGGTCATTTTTCGAAACAAGTTCGCTATAATTCAGAAAAATTGAAAGGTGACGGAAAGCTTCTGCCAACTCTTAACTTTATTCATTTGAAGGAAATAGCTAAAACAAAATTAATCCTCAAATTCCCTTTCAGTTTTGCATACCCATCATGAATTTTCAGTCCTATTCAATCTGAGCTTATCTGTTTCACTAAAAATAATCATCAGGACCTTTCGCCTAAAATATGTCGATATTTGACGAAGTTTCACCCGAAAATTTCAAGTTATTCAAGGTATTCGTAACTCATGGTGTGATTCGGCATTTCGGCGAAGTAGAATCTACCTCTGGAAATATTGAACTCCCAGAAGCATTAAACACAATCTGAATATTTAAAAAAGAATATTCCCCAGGAATTCGTTTGCGGAGATATTTACTAAAAAAAATTTTCTGGAGTCCCGAGACAGGCCGTCTGCTATAGCACGGAAAGTTTCTCTAAAAAACTGCTGTATGTGCTATGTATAGTAGAACTGCGATTATCCGAACTCTAATCAACAAAATATACGATCATTTAAATTTTTTTCACCCGATACCAATTTTTCCACTTTGTTTGACTGGTTCGCCCTTTATTCGAGCTCAATGCTCACTTTCGATTTAAAATCCTACTTAAAGAATAGCGCTCGTCTGCTGGAGAATCGGCAATTTCCATGATGCGTACAGCCCTTATGTTCAACTCTAGGGCATTCCAACATTTTATTATCCACATTACCTCGGGTCTCATGGAGTTCGAACCAATCGAGTTCTAATAGGAGACTTTAATGTATGTTGAGCTTTTTCTTTCGGCCTCTCGAGTGTCATAATTGGGGGGAGAGAGAGAGAGAGAGAGAGAGAGAGAGAGAGAGGGAGAGAGAGAGAGAGAGAGAGAGAGAGAGAGAGAGAGAGAGAGAGGGAGAGAGCACGTGTACGAAAACTTAAAAAAATGAAAGCTGAAAGACTCGAAATTTTCTGTGGAGAGAGGACGAATCAGTGGAAACTACCGTCGTCTGTTTCTGTCCTTACCAGCCCAGTGCGAGTCCCAGTTGCGGTTCCCGTCGATCCCGAAGCACCCGAAGAAGGAGTCAGTTTCCCCGCGAGTCTTTCGCCACATGCGGTTCTAGACACGTGCGGGAACGAAAACCGAGCTCAGTACGACCAGTCCGCATAATCGGGTTCTCGGAATTCGGTTGCCCGAGCAGCGAACCGAGGTCAACTTCGGAAGCACGCTTGCTTTCCTGGTGCATCCACAAACCAAGCTAGGGTTTCTTTGCTTCAAACTCTGAACGAGTTCCTTTCGTAATCCAATTTCATGGCGCATTCGCGCGGTCCAGCACCCGATTTCAGACTCGCATAAAATTAGTGTTCTCCGAGTTCATTTTCAAAAGAGTCCAGAGGGAATTTGAATGCTCATTTTTTCACGACAATCCTTTTTACTGTACTGTAGTTGATTTGCTCACAACGAACGAAAGGATATAATGTAAACGTGGGTTTTAAAAACGATGACGAAGAGGCGATGAACCGTCTTTCATGAGTCGTGGTCACGTGTGCAGGAAGATGACTAAAATATCGAGAAGTTCCTCAACGTGTGTAGTAATGTACTGGATTTATTGATGCTGGAAGAGCTGAAGGTTTCTGGGCGGGATTTGAAGTCGGCTTACGAGTTGATGTTTCATCTACGAGTATCTGACAAGCGACGAAGCGAGACAATTTTCCATTTTATCCGCATGCTAATGATGAATATTCTTTGAATATACTACTTAAAAAGGATGATTGAAAACATCCCAGCATAATTTTTGAGAGTGCTTGTTGATTCACTTGTCCAGATACCCAAATGCAGTTGTGTACATCTTGTTGCGTGTTTTTATATCATTGTTACATTAAGTTCAGGGAATCCTGCTGATTCGAGTTTTAATATTAGTAATTTTAATTAAAACGAACTTGTAGATAGTATGAAGTTGGAAATTTTGCGGTAAAATCAAGACATTTGTTCCGAAAACAAGCATTTTTGATATTTTCGATTTAAACGGCTGGAAGTGTCATAGCAAATTTATCGTTTGGTCAGGAAAGAGAGCTTTAGCTTTGCGGATTCATTTAATTTTGAAGCAATTTTTCATTCAAAGTCCCATTCATCAGTTGAAAGTTTCTCTCTCTTACATGACTATTCAATGCATTAAATGGTTTATGTCGGAAGAGAAAAGTAGTCTAACAATAGATTTTCAGAATGTGAAAGTCTTGAATCTGAGTTTTAACCTGTCGTCCGGAAAGTTTGGCAATTTCGTATTTTTTCCTAAATTTCCTCAACATTTTAATTCATTAGTGTTGTAACCACTCCGGAAAAGGGCGATCTTCTTTTTTTAAATGATGATTCCTGGTTTCCGACGAACATAAATTTGAGATAATAATTTGCGAGTCCAGTTATTCTATTGCGTCATATGCAGTGTAAGACAGAGCTTTTTCACTGCATTTTACATTATATCTGAAAAAGCTACCTGGAACATGTTGAAGACAAAAAAAAAAAAACTGACGTGGAAAAGATAAATGAATAACCAAGGGAAAATGCGGGTATCCCTGCTTATAGTTCTAGTTTCTAAACTAACATCGTTATGAAGAAAATCATTCCTGGTCGTTGAATAGTATGCCGCCGTTCGTTCCAAGAAAGGGCACTGTACACCAGCTGTGCTGTTATGAACGTGCAAAAATTTTTAAATAACATATTTTTTTAAAGTTTTGACATCTCGGACATGTACACTAACATTTAAATATAAAGAAGAGAACATAGGGGCGCTTCTTATTCTCACAATGTTACCACGTCGATTTTTTAGTGGATATGTATTTTTTGAATAAGTCACCTGATTCGGTTAAAACATTAGCTTTACGGATTTTAGTAAACTAGAACGGAGATTTTTCAAGAAAGCTGCACTTAGAAGGCATTTTCCGTACATTCCTAGAATGCCGATCTTTCGGGAGAATCCGGTTGGATTCTCCATGCATCTACCCTACTTTGAATAGACTCTATATAGACGTTCGCGTCATCGCTTCTCACGATATTTTACAAAAACCGTACGCCGAAATGATATCGAACACCGAAAATCGATTTAGCTTTAAAGCGTTTATGCCACTTCTCTCCGTCGCTGATTTTCTATATCATGGGCACTGTGCATACAGTATTAGGAATGGAATATAGCTCAAGGAATACCAGGAAATGATTTGGGCTATTTTTTTTTTTATCAAAGCTTCGACTCAAACGAGTATTCTTCAAGTTGCCGCTGACCACAGAAATCGTTTCTGAATCAGATCTGAAAAAATCCCCTCTGCAAGTTTATCGTACAAATGAAATCTAATTTTCAAGTGAGAAAGCATGTGGAGGTTTTCGGCTCGAATCCTGCATCTGGAAAGGTTTCTTGAGTTGCGTTGCCTGCCTTGAAGTATTTGATATTGTATTTCAGGAGGACTTGCATGGAATAACGAGAATACATTTATGAATTTACTGGGAATACGAGAAAAACTCGCATTTTGCGGCATAAATGCTCACGCAATTTTCCAGAAGAAGGCGCACAGAATTTGAATTTATTCCTAACGACTGAAATACGTACCAAATTGTTTCCGGTTTATTGAAGCGTTTTGGGGGAAGATTGAGGTTTGCAGTACTGTACGCTCATTTGGGTCTTATTAGCTTTGTTACATTTTAGGCTGGGGCTTTCAAACCTTTTTGTAGATGATCCCACTTTCAAAACGAGACACCCTGGGTTCAAAAACTTACCAATTATCACTTGTGCAGGGAATTCTGTGGCATTATGACTTGAACTTCGCAGTAAACATAATTAAATGAACATCTATAACTTTATTTTAGGTTACAAGCATTTCATCAACAGTTCATATGGTTAAAGATTTTTAAAGGAATCATGCTCAATTTTTAATCGATCTTTCGGACAGCTGGCTTTTACGTGAGGCATGTACATAGGAGCCTGTCTTTGAAACTTCATCAACATATGCACACTTGGTTGTTGAGCAACTAGAATTCAGCTATATATGCTAATAAACATAGCATGAATTTCCTAAGGGTTTTTAATTCTTAAAATGTATACAGTTTTAGATTTCTGACAAGGTCCCTGAAGAAATGACTCTGGCGATGCATGGCTTTAAAAATACATTTAATGAATATTTTCCAGAAGGTAAACTTATTCGTTCAACCAAAAATGACTACTTATCAAAATCAATATACATGAGCCAAAATGTATTATCCAAGTGGGATAAATAGTTGTCTGAAAAATCGGTTCCTCTTATCGTACTCTTCAATATATAGACCATTTATACTGTATACAATCATTGGCAGTAAGGTTCTCTAGGAACATCAGCTCGATGTCTACATGAAGCACACGAAAAAAGCAGCATATTTAATGGCATGGGAAACTATAATCAATAAGTTTTCGCACATTGGGAATTGTTGCTGTGTGAATTGTCCCGTAACCCACTGCTGGTATTATGTTACAGTTGGATATCTCGAGCGGCTTTTATATGTTAAGAGGCCTTGGCCTTTTTTTTTTGCTGGTGGACTAAAACTTGAAATTTTTCCTGCGTTGGAGGCTAGATAGGGTCGTGGACATAATTAGTTTAGTGCGAGTATGCGAAGCATGCAGATTAAGACCAAGTTCGCAGACGATGGGTCAACTTTAGTAAATAGCAAAAAGTCTCACGGCGACATGGGTGTACTCGAACCCATCGGGATTAGCCATGACGACAACGTGCAAATTGAACTTGTCGAGGATGTCGTCGTAGTCGGAGGAACTCAGCATCTGATTAAGCATCCATGTGACGGTAGCCGAAGTGATCCACTCCCGGGCGTGGATGTCTGTTGGGCAATAAGAAAAAATAAGAGGTGGGAAAAGGACGAGTGAAATATGGTGGGTGACGTGAGGCGAGCCTCCGACGCACTGGCTTCAATGAAGACCTCGTCCTTTGGGGAGCCGTCCGGGGACGGGCGTTGAATCTTGAGCACTTTCATGTCTCGGCCTTCGAACGAATTTCCGATCACTTCCACAGACACATAGTCGGGATAAGCTGCAGCCGTCTCGTCTAACCAAGCGTATATCTACGTCACGTAGAAACAAGGGAAATTACGCGAAGGAAAGTCGCAGTTCGGAGGGATTGAAAACTGATGATTTACTCTCCCTCATGAGAAAACTCATCACAGTTAGACTCTTTAATTATACTCGTGAGAAGGAAACAAAATTCTTTAAAAAAAAAAGTAGTGTTGCAGAGGAGCTGAATATTCTTTATCTATGCAGATGACTTTTCGGGATTTCTACGCCGGAAAATATCTCATGCGAAGAACATCGTTACGTATAGGTTCATTGTACAGAGATTCATTGTGTATTTTTGCTTGAAACTGTTGAAAGGCACAAAACCAGGCGCTTGAAAACCCAAAATTTCGCCATAATCACGGGGGTTATCGAAATTGAGATTCCCTACGAAAATCTGCACGGCATCCAGCAAAATTGAAGAAGAATCCCTGCATATTAATTGGAAGTGCTGAAACATGCCTCATTTTTTCGGGATCGCGAACTCAACTATTTTATATTGTTCAGCAGTTCACAAAAGCGCATTATTCTTATTTTCGTGTATGTCGACTTCAAATTCTGTAAGATCGGCCAACGGTTTCGATGGTGATGGGGAACGGAGGTAATAATAAAAAAAATGATCCAAACTTTTGAAATCATGGTTATATGGTGGGATTATTTTGTGATGATCGAGAAACTTGGTTGGAGGATCACTTGAGGAAGTGTTTTCCACGATTCGCTAGGTATTGATCGTCAAATATTAAATGTAGTATTTATCCAGTCACATGTTTGCAGTATTTTTCAATTAGCCTCTGTCTCAACCGACACAAAGATTCCGCTCACCGTATCGAGCTGTTGATAAGAGTCCCAAGCCATTTTCCCGTCGGTGCCAACCTTTTCCTGGTTCAGCAGACTGAAATTAGATCTAACGATTATGAAGGTGCGGAATTTTTTTTCAAATGGTAAAGATCAAGTTGTTTCCTACGTAAAGTATGCCGGAACTGACACTTTTTTGTGGATGAAGGTACATTTCATACCGGGATAGCAGATTCGACGCGTTCAGAAAGTCTATTCACAGATTAAATACTTAATTCAGTAATCATCGCCTTATTTTAATAAGGTGCAGAATTTCCAGTATTTGGAGAAATCATGTTACCTTTGCAAGTCTTCGATCATTACACTGACTGAAGAAAATTCAGCGTGCAGCATATTCCTCATGGCTTCATCCTCGGCGCTGTGCGCTTACAGTTGACGGTTAGGGTGAGGCGCTCCAAGTCAGGTCTTTAGGTCGACTTTTTATTTTATGCTTTTTGAAAAAAGTTAGTCGGACAAACTCTACTTTTATAACATGAAGGCGCTAAGATGCGTTTTTCTTTCTCTGTGCTGAGGTTATTCGCGGAAGTGCTGTCTTTATTCGGACGGGGAAATGTCCATGCGCCCAGCGCACAACGAATGTGCGAATGGGTCCTATTTATGTCTCAAGTTTTGGGGGAGTATGTTTAAGAGCTTTAAATATATTTTGGCATCGGTTGGAGATTGAAGACAAATTTGAATCTTTACTCCGTTTTTCACATGAAATGCAGTACATTTTTGCGAAATGAATTCTTCTGAAAATACGCCGATCTGATATTTCTCCTGTTTTCGTATGCATTCGAATGATGCATAAAAAATATAATTTTTCAGTTTCAGAACTTCGGGACGGTGAACTCATGTCTAAAGAAAAATAGTCCCCGTATGACAACATTTTCTGTTCCCGCTTCTAATACAGTACAGTACTGTACTATACCGAAGCGATTCCCGTGCTACCCACAAGAGTTCAATTTTCAGCGAGTTATGAACAAATAATTACTGTATGTCATTTCAGAAAAAGGGAGGTCGGATTAAGAAATAACATAGAGGGAAGTCCTGGCATCATCCCAAAATAATTTTGGCACCTGAGAAAGGAAAAATAATATTTTTAGCTGTTTCAAGGAAAACCCCAGAGTAATGCAACCCGATGGTGAAATAATAATAATGACGCTAAAACCTTGTTTCTAAGGATAACACAATCCCCCTCTTTCATCGTCGTAAATTTAATGACAAATCTGTCCTAACGATCCCACAATTTTTCCTGAAATTTCCCAAGTCCCACTTATGAGTCGGAATTTTTCCGTTGAATTGTCGACACATTTTTTTTACACAAATAAGAACATTTTAAGTTGATAACTCGGCAAAATTTGCACGTTTTGGCTGGTCTATGGAAGCGTGAGAACCTTTGTAAGCGGCTCTTCATCTACAACAGAATATCTGTGCAGCATAACTAATGATCATGATGGGCCTTATCGATTGTCGTGAATGGAGTTTTCCTGCTTTGCAAGACNCTGTCCTAACGATCCCACAATTTTTCCTGAAATTTCCCAAGTCCCACTTATGAGTCGGAATTTTTCCGTTGAATTGTCGACACATTTTTTTTACACAAATAAGAACATTTTAAGTTGATAACTCGGCAAAATTTGCACGTTTTGGCTGGTCTATGGAAGCGTGAGAACCTTTGTAAGCGGCTCTTCATCTACAACAGAATATCTGTGCAGCATAACTAATGATCATGATGGGCCTTATCGATTGTCGTGAATGGAGTTTTCCTGCTTTGCAAGACATGCAAAATCCTACTGCTAGCTTTCCTGAATTTTCATCAAGTTCTTAATTTCTTCGACGGAGTTTCACGTCAACTGCATGTTGACGAAAGATATTTTGATGAGTACACCGACGAGAATGCTTATGCCTCCCGTTGCGTGTCTATGAGATCAAGACTAAGCCGGGGCCATCACGTGACGCACGACGAGAAAGTTCCGTTTCAGACAAGTTCTGGGTCGCGAAGCCCTCAGCTTACCACTCTACTGCAAATTTAACTTTCAAGCTGCCGCATGTTTGCCAAGAAACATGCCCTTAAAGCGGGGTTCAAAAATAGCCTGTTCCCGACGTCGCCGGCGGAGGACCAGTAGGGATGAGAGACAGAAAAAAGGGAATTAAAATAAGGCGATTCCTTGCGCCGAGACGAAGCCCGTGAGAAATGCGATCGTTTGCTCGTCGTTTCCCGAGGGGGATCCGAGAGAACTCCTCCTCCTCAGATATGGCAAGAGGGAATATCTTTCTACATTACGCGGCAACCAGACATCTGCGGACTCGCCGTGGTGCATTCATCACGGCGTGACCTTTTTTCGCGAACCGACTCCGACCTTCGAGTCTTCCAGCTAGGGAAACCAATCACTTGTTATCCGACCCGCAGACCCGGAGGAGAACGTATTTAGGTGTCTCTCGTGGGGCTCGAAACGGCTAACCCCTGAGCTGGCGGAAACAGAAAAACTGGAAGGCTGAGGTTAGCTATTAGTGCCGTAGTGAGGTAATTTTTTAACCTTCAATCCCGAGGAATGTTATTTTGCTGTTATTAAAGAACTTACTTCAAGTTACTCTGTAACGCTTACAAAAACCGGAGTCTCGGCCAATGCTTCGTATTGGAAAGCCTGGGCGCGTTCATCATCTGACCTGGATTTAATTAGTTTTCAGATGCGCTTTTTGGAGCGTACACATATGATAATTCGCGTGCAAAATCCAACGGTGGCAAAATATTGAAAATTCGAAGATTCTCGAGAATTTATCCAGCCTTATTTAAAAACAAGCTGAAAAATCCTGTTTCTCTAATCATACCTAGAGCATAAAACTTCTGGTTTATTTCCGCAGCAAGCACACTTCGGATGTGGTTGACGTGCATTGATAGTCAACGCTTGTCAAGAGATTATTACCATAAATAAATCAAACGTCCCCAACGATTCATTATACTGTATACTGTAATCGTGATGCAGTATTACGAAAAGTTCAGGACAAAGAGGCAGTTGGAAAGATCTGATGTTTCAATGTCAAGGATGACTCTACGGCGCAGTAAAGCAATTGAAAACAGTGCTGTATATTTGATGTTGAGTCAACGTTTATCATTGACACACGGCGTTCCAGCAATTATTTCCATTTTGTTAACGTCGAAAATATCTCTTATGAGCCTCGAAGTATTCAAAGAATAGTACAGTAGTGTACAGTATTTGAAAATCGCGTACTGTACAATTGATCGTATGTTGATTGGAGAAGCATGTAAGCAGTAGGATGAACACAGCATCGAATATGTTATTCACAAGGTTTTGACTCGCACTATTCAAGGTTTAAGCAACTACCAAAATGCTTCATAAAATGTCATCCCGTATTTTAAAAATGCTTGCCAATCACGAATCAATGTTTACATTTATATTTTCAGGCAAAGCGCTCAACCTAAGTGGAAACACGAGCTTTCCATTCAATTTGACTCGCCAAATAAGATTTTTTTTCTCGGGCGTGGACGCCAAATAATGCGAATATCTTCCGGTATAATCTTTTTAGAGTTCCTAGATCTGACGTGCACATAAATGACAGTATATCGTNTGGTTGACGTGCATTGATAGTCAACGCTTGTCAAGAGATTATTACCATAAATAAATCAAACGTCCCCAACGATTCATTATACTGTATACTGTAATCGTGATGCAGTATTACGAAAAGTTCAGGACAAAGAGGCAGTTGGAAAGATCTGATGTTTCAATGTCAAGGATGACTCTACGGCGCAGTAAAGCAATTGAAAACAGTGCTGTATATTTGATGTTGAGTCAACGTTTATCATTGACACACGGCGTTCCAGCAATTATTTCCATTTTGTTAACGTCGAAAATATCTCTTATGAGCCTCGAAGTATTCAAAGAATAGTACAGTAGTGTACAGTATTTGAAAATCGCGTACTGTACAATTGATCGTATGTTGATTGGAGAAGCATGTAAGCAGTAGGATGAACACAGCATCGAATATGTTATTCACAAGGTTTTGACTCGCACTATTCAAGGTTTAAGCAACTACCAAAATGCTTCATAAAATGTCATCCCGTATTTTAAAAATGCTTGCCAATCACGAATCAATGTTTAAATTTATATTTTCAGGCAAAGCGCTCAACCTAAGTGGAAACACGAGCTTTCCATTCAATTTGACTCGCCAAATAAGATTTTTTTTTTCTCGGGCGTGGACGCCAAATAATGCGAATATCTTCCGGTATAATCTTTTTAGAGTTCCTAGATCTGACGTGCACATAAATGACAGTATATCGTTATACAGTGTTGCGCTAATGTGGAGAGAAAATGGAATACCCACTCTTGTCACGTAGCCCGACTGCTGCAGTAGCTGCAACCCAGCAAGCTCTTGTTCATTTTGAGGCACCACCCTCAGCACCTTGTGGTTATCAAAGCGTAGCTTTTCAGCCACCGCCAGACTTGCAAACGCAAGGGCCCAGATGAGGAAATGTCCTGGAAAAGCCATCATAATTCATGCATAAAACACTTCTCGAGACTGAAAGGTGAAAAACAACAGGTGCAGGGTTGTCATGCGGGCACGCGTTATCGTGCCGTGATTGATGGCATGCGTCGAATAACGCGAGAATTTGACATTTGCCTTCGAATTTAAACGTTCAAGTACGCTAACATTATCTGGTACATCAACTCTTGTAGAACATTGCGTAAACTATATCGGAAATAAAATTTCTGAGCTCGTAATTTCGGGTCCGATTTTGTGATTTGAACGATGTCGCAACTTGGACGCATTGTACGTAATTTTTTTCCTCTTTAGCTATATGAACGAGCATGTTCGTATTGTACCTTCATTTCATCATCCTGATGAGGTATTTTTACGCGTGAGAACCAAAATTCTCGATTGTAGTACTTGGATAAGCTTTTGGATCATAATGCTGTTCACCGAAGTGGTAATGAGGAATTTTGGCGGTGATTCATCCTTCCTAAACCTAGGAATGGTATCTCAGGAATTCTTACAGCTTGTTGCCTCTTTCTCCCTGCTTCATAGCTCTCATGAACAAATCAATCTCCAGCCAATCATTCTAAATATATCAAGACCATAAACGTGTACACGCTCGTAAAAGAGAGAAAACAACGTACGGCTATGTTTAAATTAGCAAATAATCATACCGAATAACAATAATATAGCCACTTTCTGCTGCTACTCAGCGAAGACGCATGAAAATACGTGCTGGAACATACCTGTATTTTGTTTCCGAAACACACATGCCTGCCTGGGTATAGATGAACATGCAGTATTATGAAAGCTTTTCAAAAGGTCTACAAATTTCGTAAACTGACCCAATCTTCGAAAACTTTGACATATCTATGATATTTTAAAGGATTAATATTTTTAATTTCGCCACGAAAATGAAAGATACATGCTTGATAATTCGAGATTGGTGGGGTTAGATAATTCCAGTGTCAAGCTTAACTTTTTCCTTCAAATCCACCCTTCATTTATGACGATGACGTAATCAGATCACCATCATTCTATAATGTTATGGAATTGACCGAAAAATATAAGAATGCTTGAATCGAACAGTATACGCAAGTATTTCCCGATTTTTTCATATTGAGACCATTGAGAGATGAATTCCATCAAACTGTAACTTGTAATTTTTGAAAAAAAATCTAAAATACCTCGATGCATCCTGACCGCCTTTGAAGTTGACTACTTTTCTTGCACAGTCGTATTTTGTAAAATGCAAAGCACTTGACAGGAACGCTTCCTCTATAATTCTGATTATCTGAAATCCTTGAGACACCTTTCAGCGCAATTATATCAGCGATATCCTCGTGAGAAAAAGGCTGATGGCGACTATCGCAGTTCATTGTTGCCGGGTACAAACAAGCGTTCTTTACTCGTATATGTAATTTTTTGAAGAACAGCTGTTCAAAGTTTGAAAGCCAGTTATCAAAAGGAAATGTTTCTCAGAGCAATTTCAAAATCGAACAGCCGAATTACAGTTTGAAATTAATAGCTTATGCTCCAGAGTTATCGGAAAGTGGTCAAGGCATCAATTCAGAATAGAAAATCATTGAGAATCTCCAGAGCGCTTTGAGGAATTTTATAAGTCTCGATCGGTGACTGGTGTCTTCTGTCACTAAACGATACAGTAAACCAATTAGAAAATTATTTTTATTTCGCGTGGGACCGATGCAAATAAGAAAAATACAATATCTCAGTTGGCTCCCGAGAATGAATTTGTGAAGAAAAACATTCAAGTAAATCTTCGCAGATGACGTAATCTGATTCTTTCCACATTTTGTTACCTCACATCCTCGGCTATGAGATCATTCACTACTTTTTTGAAGGTTCTCTGGAATATTTTGGAAAATTCCGTATCTCGTCAAATTTCATCGAAATTACGGGCAAGACGAAAACTCAACGTGAGCAGCTGCATGGAACGCAGTAAATTCCTCTCACCCCAAGATACATTCACTGATGAATTTCTATGAAATTCGAAAGAGTTTTCGTCATCAAGGATTCTGATATTATTCTTCATATCGAAAGCGCAGTCTTTGCCGTGAGCTTGGGAGTAGTTAGATGCT